AGAGTACCCCGCTTGTACACCCCCCTAACTGACCTTGATCCGACCCTGTACACACCCCCCGCTTCCGGTTTCGGTTTCGCTCAATACACGTGTGTCGTTACCACACTCCGGCCTTCTCCCTTGTTCCACCCGACCTGTGCGCATGTGTGCTGTGTATACTGTGTGGATTCATTAATACCAGTCCGTATATCTGCACATTTCAGAACTGACGTGTGCCGTCCTCTCGAACGTCGAATACCGCTGACTTCCTGACATCCCACGCTACACAAACATCATTTCACCAGAAGGTGAAAATGGATTGGACTAACTCACTGTTAAAGTCACAACTTCGAAAACCCTATAGGTTTGGCGGAAATAATTTGGCAAAAATAATAATAATAATAGCCAGCGGCCACAAGCACAGTGATTACCGAATCCGTTTGCTTTTACCGCCAGGACATGGAAGCCGATCAAACCCACCAAAAGTAGCTCATTTATTCGGAGCCCCTTTGACATCACGATGCTCCTAGCTACAAGACCTTGCGGATGGAATAAAAGTTTTTCACGCCAAAGTGCTGCATTTTGTTGCGTATATGCTCAAACCAAAAACCATTTATAAATGGTAGAAAGTAGAGTGTACTCTACTTTCATATTTTGCCGATTACCAAATTTCAATATTCACTGGAGCAGTCATAACTCTAGCGGAACATCCTGGTGAAGAACTTTCTTGACATCACTGGGACCCCTGGACGCCTATACGGGGCTCGAAAGTTTGGCCGGTATTCTGTCTGTTTTAGTCCATCAGGGACATTTCGTAGGTTTTGAACATTAAATTCCATTGTGCGAATGAAAAATAGATTGGTAACTAGTAGGAATTCCCCCAGTGACCAACCGCCGACTGCGGAGAAAATGATTCGCTGCGTTGCGTCCTTCGACGCATTTGATGAATATAACTTCCAACACAAGTCGTCCGATTGTCTTCGAAACAAACGAACATTATTTTAACTTATTTATGTTTTCTCCTAGGGTCAGTCGACAGTCAATTTGCCGCTCCTAGTTTCCTTCCGAGAAGTTTGGTGTAAATCCAAAGAATTTCTATTTCTAGCGGGATTGCACATTATTCGACCCAAAACACTCATGCTACTGATAAGAAACGCGCTTTACGCGTTCCATACAGAGTGCCGGTGAACGTGCCAAGAACATGTAGTGTCTGTAATCCGTTGTCACATTTACCATTCTTCCTAAACTTGAACCACACTTTGTAACTGTCGTTCACATTGTATCGTGACGATTGTTTTAATGTTACTAATACACAATTTTCCGGTGCGACCTGCTGGCTTCTTGCTGAAGGAGGGTATTTACGCTCCATTGAACTGTTTGTTGACCAGTGGGACCAAATCTCCGTTTGTGTCAACTGTTGAACGTCACAATAAATGCATGTGACATTTTTTAGCCGTGAATAACTTTCCTACCGTGGAATATATCACGCACGCGGAACCATCTGTGGGAAATTCCGACAAGTGGATATTTCCTTTCACAGCCAGTTACTGCATTTGGATCGGTGTAGTGGACTATTGGATCTACACATTCGTGAGTCCCTATTTGACTACTCAATCCTTCCCTATTGTGATTTTGTGATTTTGTATTGGTTACTTTGCTTGTCAATTCATCCGAACACGCTGATAAGGTCCTAGTCCGCTACAAACAGTCCAGTTCAAAATGGCATCGATCACTGAAGCTATCAAAATTCCAACATGTAAACCGGAGCTCCACGTTTGAAAGACCTTTGTACCATGACTTCCCTGCTTACCGTTTTTACTCAATGAGCGATCGATCTGTGCACACCCCGACACTTGTATTCGTGGCTCCAGCTAAATTTGCACGTATTTCATGAATAATTGCACACAAAACGGTCGTTTTAGTCATGAACAGTAAGTCGAACAACATTTTTTCTCTCTCTTCGCTCGTTCATGGACACATCCAATCGTTTGTAAGATGTAGTTGATGTATGTAGTTGCGTATGTCAGAATATTTGTTCGGTTTGATAAAAATATCGCAAATTCACTTTTAGACGGTGAGTCGTATCAATTAGCACAAATCCTAGGCACAGTCCCATGAATCCTACAACTGGACGAATAAATATGGTCGAGAAAACTGTAAAACGTAGATCCTAACCTGCAATTTTTCCCACGGGACCTGTCACCGAAAGCAGCTATAAGAAAAAATTATGACACGACGAGGTGAGATACTTGAAAGATCCGAACTAGTAAAAATTAAAAAAATGTTTACAAGCTGT